GGTTCGTCCACTCCAGGGCCAGGCTTCGTACCCACCAGTCCCCACTGGCCTCCTCGCCTCTGGGACAGCACCGGTCCAGACCTGACTTTCTAGAACTTAAATCTGGCCTTGTCAGTGTCCTACTTACACACACACACACACACACACACACACACACACAGCCTGTGTTGTCACACCTCCCTGCCCGCCTGCCTTCCTGAGCTGGCCTCACGAGTCCACTTCTCTGTGCAGCCGTCCGTCTGCAGAGCGGGCCCCACCCTCCTCCAGCTCCCAGGAGCAGCCGTGGCTCCTTCCATCCCAGCACCCGGGACCCAGCTCGTCGCATCGGGTCATCTACCCCCAGACTGTGAGCTTCTTAAAAGCAAGGTCAGGATGGTACCTGTTCTGCATCCCCAACAACCAGGATGGTACTGGGGTCACTAACTAGGAATTCACGGATTCCCTTCATTGGACACACTCCCTGAGCATTTCCCCTTTGGCCGCCCCTGCGCTGGGGGCTGGAGGAAAAGCAAGGACAAGGAAGGCCCCTGCCCTCCAGGGCCACCGGCAGTGGGTGAGACAGAGAGCAGGCATTTGTACTACAGAGTGATCAGTGTCCTGGTAGGACGGCTCAGAGGGCTGTGGTGGCACTTAGCCCGGCTGGAGTGGGGGTTGGGAAGGTGGGAAGGAGGCGCCCTAAAAGAGACCTTAGCTAGACAACAGAGAATGGAATGGTGTGGCACCCAGGCTTGGGAGGCTTGTTTGCCTGGGTCTGAGGCTTGCTTCACTCACTGACTCACTCACTCACTCATTCACTCATTCATTGAGTCACTCATTTACTCACTCATTCACTCAGTCATTCATTCACTCAGTCACTCACTCATTCACTCACTCACTCATTCACTCACTCCCTCCCTCCACAGATGCCTTTCTCTGCCTGGCCCTGAGTCCGTATTGTTGGTTCAGCAGTAACTAAGAGACACCATCTTTCCTTCAAAAAGGTTGGAGTGGGACCACCTCCAGCAGGAGTTTGGACATTCCTGGAGCTGGGCGAGTCCACTCCAGGGCATTTCTTGGAGATAAGAAGAGTCCTGGTCTTTTCTTAGGGGATCTTGGGCCCGCCTTCCTGGAGGGCCCGGGCAGCAGGAGAAGCTGGGGCCCGGGGGCTGCTGGCCCCAGGACAGCCTGGTCTCACCAGAGAATAGACCACACACAATAGCTCGATTGTGAGAGGCTTGCCTGTGCCCCCCACCCCCGCCCCACACTCACATGTGAACACTTCTGTGATCGGAATGTCGTACGGTGATGAACACATGTAGCGGGACATTGCAGTGTTTTACAGTGTTTACCATTTTGAGATGTTTTACAGCATTACAATGTAATGTTTACAGTGTCCCCCCTCCAAAGCAGTTATTAAATTAGTCATATGGCTTACAGTCAAAGTAAGAGAATTAGGATTTTGTCATAGAAACTGCTGTCAGAATGAGGTTCTGATGTGACCTATCACCACAAACTCCAAGCTGCCAGTGGCTGAATAACCCTTCTATTTGGGGTGTTTTATATAAATTTACAGAAAAGAAATGCTATTCAATGAATTGATTCATTCTTGAGATTTCCACAGTGTATTTGTCCAGGACGGCAGCGGGGTGGGGCAGAATGAGCCCAGATCTGGGTTCGCATCCCTGCTTCCTGGCCCACCTGTGGGGAGACCTGGGCAGAGGGGCTGCATGCACCTCCGGGCCTCAGTTTCCTCCTCTGTAAAGTGGGACTGCACCGCCCACCCTGCAGGCCCCCCCTTGGTGCCGCAAGTCTCTGCAAGCTTCCTGCTGCCGCGTGTCTGTGTGATTACCGGCTCCACCTTCCACCCCCTCCCCCCACAGGGCTGTGCGCGCAGGAAACAGAGCCCCTCCCCACCCGCCTGCTGACCAGGAGACCGTGCCTGGTGAAACGAGCTGGGATTAAGAGAGAGGCCAGAGCTGAGTGTACCTGCCGAGGGTGGGGCTGCACTCCGCGGTGTTCGTTCTAAGGTAGCTACCAGGGCCACCTCTCGTGGCTTCCGAGGAATTGCCCGGGCGCGGCCCAGTGTAGACCCTGAGGGCCTGCGCTCCGACTCAGCAGGCCACGGAGTCTCCAAGTGCAAGTGCAGGCAGCGCGAGGAGGCTCCGCTCCACAGAGCTGGTGCCAGGGTTCCGCGGGGCCGGCGTGGGGGGGCAGCGGCGCAGAGCTCCAGGTGCGTGGGTTTCTGAAGCCGGACAGCCGGCTGGGAACCCCGTCCCGTCCCTCTCTGGCCGCGTCACCGCAGCCACGCCGCGGGGCTCTGTGGAGGCTCCTCTGTCAGAGGGTGGCGGCAGCGCCTGTCCTGCCTCAGAGGCGGCTTCTGTGACGAGCAAGCGATGCGTCCCAGTCGGGCACGCACGTGGTTTTCAGGTGGCCCGTGCGGCATTCTCTAGGACAGCAACCCAAACAGATGCGGCTGCTGGGGGCCACGGGCAGGGACCCAACGACAAGGTCAGGGGAAAAGTCAAGACACCTTGAACAGGGCAGAAGAGTGGGGAAAGGTATGGACTTTGAAGCCAGACTGAGCAGGGGTCAAGTCCTACATAATCATCAACTGTGTGACCTTGGGCGAGCTCCTTACCCTTCCTCAGCCCTAGTTTTCTCATCTCTAAAACGGGATGCTGACGCTAGCACCTGCCTCCTGGGGTTCTGGTGAGGACGAAATAGGGTGATGACTGTGCCTGCCTTGGCTCGGCGGGCGCCTAGTACACCATCGTGCGTGGAGCAGAGCGGTGGCTTCGCCCTGCTCGTGAGCTCGCTGTCGCACCACGCAGGGCCTCCCGGGCCACGCGCGTCACACACGTTTCAGTCTGTCCTGCCACGACTGCCTTCGCTGACTGGTGACTGAGCCCATTCCGTTTGCCAGCCGGCGAAGCCAGCCGGAGCCTTCGCTCGGCCCAGGCTGCCCAGAGAGCCTGTGAGCCGCCCGGTTCCAGGCCGGGGGGGCCCCCGCCGCCCCAGAGGCCTTGAGCCGGAGGAGCACACATTTAACGTCAGCTTTTCAAAACGCTTCCAGGAGTCCAGGGAGCCCACCGAGACCTATGGGGTCGCGGGAGAGAAGCCCCTGTCACTGTCTTGGGCTAAGATGCACCAGTGTCGCTGGCATCAGACCCACCAGGCTTGGCCACCCTGTGGCCAGACTTGGTGATGGGGTGGGGGGCGGTTTGGGGCAGGGGTCTGTGCCTCTCCTTGTGCGGCCCCGGGACCTCCTGGCACTGGCCCTCCGATGTCGGGGGCCTCCTGTGGCATGGAGGTAGCTCACCCTCCTCACCCTCCTCACCCAGTGTGGTTCTGGCAGAGACTGACAGGCGGACGAGGAGTACCCGTGTGGGCGTGGGGCGCTGCACTGCAGGGCCGGTGTTGGGCACACCGTGTTCCTTTCGTCACCCCCGGTGTGGACTTCCAGGGCCCGGGCGTGCTCCGGGTCGCCCCAGACGTAAAGCCCCCCCAGGCCTGGTGCACTTTCTGACACCCTAGCAGTGCGCCAGGAGAGGGAGTGTGGGTCCCTGCCCTCTCCTCGTGAGTCTGCTTGTTACGGTCTGTAACACGCAGTGACTAACGTTTTCTGAGGGTTCGCCGCATACCAGGCGCTGGCGCTGAGGCCCTCCTAGAAAGCAGTGGGACGGGGTTCAGAGTGCTGGGTTCAAGTCCTGGGACTGCCGCTTCCTAACCACGAGGCCTCGCGCACAACCCCTTACTACTCTCTGTGCCCCAGTCCCCTGCCTGTGAAAGGGCGATGGAGGGCAGCGTGTGGCTTCCAGGGGGGTCGTGAGGGCTGGGGAGCACCGGCGTCCGGCGCGTGCAGCGTGAGTGCTAGCCGTTACTGAGAGACGGGCGCTGTCGTCGCCCCGTTTCACAGAGAAGGAAACTGGGGCTAGGAGGGAAGGGCTGGGCTTGACCCCAGCCCCTGGGCACTGCCTTCCCGCACCTCAGTTCAGAAAAGCACACGTGGGGAGCCCCAGGCTCCCCCTGGGTACTGGGAGCTCCATCCCCTTTCCTCGGAGCCCCGACGAAGGGGGCCCTTCACCAAGTGACCGGCCGGCCTCTGGGGGCCGTTGTAACCCCGCGGCAGGGGAGCGGCTGACCCGTGACACACATGTCACAGGAGGGGCGGGGAGGGCTCAGGGGAGAATTTCTGTTTCGAAATGTTGTCTAACACCAAGCGCTTTCAAGGGACGCGGAGTGTGGAGCCTGTGCCGTCCCCCGCCCGGTGCCGGTCCCCCCCTGTCTCCCAGCCGCGCCCAGCCTGCGGGAGACTGGGGTGCCTGGGCCGCCGTCCCGTGTGAGGGGGGACCGGGCGTCCTCAGACATGCGGAGAGAGCCAGGGCAGCGCTTCGCCCGAGTCACAGCGGCACAGGTCTCCGGCTGGCAGGCCCCTTCCAGCACTGCAGCCCCTCGCCCCCTCCTGCCCGGCCGAGGGGGTGGGCACCGGCTGCTCGGCTCCGGGGAGCTCTCTGAACAAGGACTCCCGGCTCTCCCAGGACAGGCTTTGCTTTTGCTTTTGCCTGGGTGCCCTCCCTAGCCCGGGGCAGAGCAACCCCAAACTTAAAACGCCTTCCCGGACGTTCAACTGCCCCTGGCGTCTGGGACGTCCCAGCCTACCGGCCCCTCGGGCACACACCTACACAGAGCGCTCACTCGCGTACACCCCCCAGCCCAGGCTGGCCCAGGAGCCGCTGACGGCCCCCAAAGGCTCTTTGTTCGCGGAGGAGAGTGGAGGACGAAGCCTCGGAGCCCCAGCCCCTGATCTCACGCCCAGAGCACCAGCCTCTGCCCCAGCATCCGCTGGTCCTGCCCCGGCACACGCCGCGTTCGGCTCCCAGTGAAAGCAGGAGTGACCCCCTCTGTGATCCAGCTGCACACGCACCCCAGCTGGAGGGGCCAGGGGTCTTGAGCACCAAGACACGGGGCCAGCTGCCGCCTCTTGCCTCCTGCCCCTCCGTGCCACCAAGCTAGCTCCTTACCTCTTCCCTCCTGCCTGGCTCCTGGGGCAGCTCCTCACATGCTTCCCTTTGGCCGTCAGCAAAGCAGCCTGTCCATGGCCTCCAGGAGGGGTCCTCGAGTCGCAGGCTTGCCCGGCCACCCAGCAGCCCTGCCTCGCTGGCCTCTGCCGGCTCTGCTCCGCCTGCACAGTGGAGCTCCGCCGGCCCGGGGCGGGGGCTGGCCGGGGTCCTGCGGGGCTGCTCACAACCTGCCTCCTCTTGGGGTGGGAGCCGGTAGCTGCCTCAGGGCCATGCTCTGCAGGTCTGGACTCGGGCGGCACAGCTCGGGGCTCGGTCCGTCCGCAGCTCAGGCCGTCCGCTGCAGCCTCATTTGAACTCCCAACTCCTTTGTGGAGCCTTTACATGCCGCCCGCCGGAGGAAACTGTGAGCACAGCCTGACCCTGGTTGGCTGCAGGCACATCTCTCCACCCACCAATGCAAGAGGATCCCCCAGGCCCCAGAAAGGCTCTGGGCCTCCCCTCAGCCCCAGACAGAGGCGGGCCGCCCGGTGATGTCACACTAGCTCCGGCCCCAGCTGGCCTGGCCCCTCCCGCCCCAGCCTGCTTTGGCAGCTTCGGCGGCCCCCTCCTTCCTTGGCACGCGCCGCCTGGCCAGCTCTGCTCCCTGGCCTGCCCGCTCTCCAAAGCCCAGGCAGCTCCTGGTTCGCTCCGAAAGGCAAACAGCTTCCCCTCTGACTCAGGTAAGGGGTTGAGGTCTGCTCCAGCCGTGCAGGCACCTGTGTGCAAGCTGCAGGGAGCAGGGTCCTCCCCCACAGGGCCAGGTGGGCAGGCAGGGCAGCCCCCTGCGGAAGGCCTTCCTGCGGCCTCCCTCCCACCTCTGAACCCCGGGGGAAGGGAGCCCGAGGCTGTCTGTGCAGAAGCCAGTAGCATCTGTGCCGAGAAAGCTCGGGAGGCAGGAGCCCAGGGCAGTGGAAACACCACAGCTGGGGGTGAGGGCAGCACCAGAGGAACACTGTCACTTCCCGCCTGCGGGGCCTTGATTGAGTCACTGGGGCAGTCACCTCTCTGGACATCCCGTTCATGCCTCAGCGGATGAGCGAGTACTAGCAGTCTTCCTGCGAGCACTCTCCTGTGAGGTCGGCCGGGAAAGGGCCCAGCACAGGGCACGGATGCCTCCGTGGGCTGAACTCAGACTCGGGGTCCGGTGGGCCAGGGGGGTTGCCCTGACCCCAGTCCTCAGCAGGTTCCGCAGGAAGAAATAATAGGTGACCCTCAGACTCCTCGGCACAGTCTGTCATCGGGGGGAGCTTGTGACTGCCGACAGCGTCAGAGCGAGAGAGGAGGAGCCAGCCCTGGACCCCAGAGCGAGCAGTCCCGCAGCGGGCAGAAGGGTGGGCTCCGGGGAGGGGGCCGAGGGCACAAGTGTCTCCCTCTGCCGGGGCCACAGCCACGCGAAACAGAGTGTTGACTCTTCTTTCCTTAAAAAAAAACAAAACAAAAACAGGATGGTGGTGGTGGTTGTGGTGCGTATGTTTGGGCACAGACTGAGAGAGAAACTTTCAAGGGGTACCCCCCTGCCCCGGGCACGGTGCATCATGTCCTTGGTCCCTGGGCAGATGGGTCCGTCCTGGCCCTCCCGCCTAAGGGCTGCCGCTTCTGTCTTTGCAGGGAGCAAAGTTCTCTGCTGGCCTCAGCTCCTGTCAGCGCTCAGACCTCCTCCTTTCTCCATTTGTCGTCCCCACCCCTTTCCAGAAGGTGTGTCTTTGCCAAAAGACCCCCGTACGTTATAGGCCACATTAGCCAGACCCCGGGACTAGACAGAAACCCCCCCTGCATCTGCCGTGGGGATGAAGACGCCCAGCCAGTCTGTGGCGGGCCGGTGGTGGTGGAGCCACGGCAGGCCGGGGGCTCAGGGCAGGCAGAGGCGCGGGGGGCGGGGCTGAATCCTTTCTGATCCACACCCTTGACAGCCTGGAGGCCAGCGGGCATCCTTCTTTCCCCCTTTCCTCTTCCTGTCTCTTCTCCAGGCTGTCTGCCTCTCTCCTCCAGGGTGAGTGGGACCCACTCCTGGCTAGCACCAGCAAGGTGAAGTCCCCGTCCTTACAGAGCTCCTGGTCAGGAGGGGGGACAGGGGACAGACTGGGGTGCGTGAGGAGGTCTGGGCGCTGAGGGAGCGTCTGAGCCGGAGCCCTGACGAAGCCTGGGCAGGGCAGTCCCCGCGCCCTCCCCGACGGAGTGGTGCTTCAGCCGAAACCCGAGCGCTCGGTGAGAGTCAGCAGGTGGTGCGGTTGGCGCGAGGGCGGTGGTCTGGGCAGAGACAACGGTGTGTAAAGACCATGTGGTGGATCGCTTTTTCAGAGAGACGGCCCCAACAGGATCTCCTGGCCCACAATGCGACCCTGACACTCCTCCTCTTGAATCCGGGTGGGTGGGCGGCTTGCTGGTAACCAGCAGAATGCAGTGGGGCGGCACTACCGGGGCTCCGGGGCTGGCTGAGCACAGGCAGCGCGGCCTCTGCCTCTCGCCCCGGGGTGCTCTCGTTTGGAGCTCCGAGCCAGGCCCGGGCCGGAGAAGTCCAGCTGCCCGGGAGCTGCCACGCAGAGGCCGTCGGACGTGTAGGTCCCTGCCGACAGCCAGCATCAGCCGCAGACACGTGGGCAGAGATGCCTCTCGATGGTTCCAGCCGCTGGCCCTGAGCTCCCCACAGCCAGAGGGTCTTCCTGCCGAGGCCCCAGACACCGGGAGCGAAGACAAACCATCCCACTGCTCCACAGCTGAATTCTTCACCGCAGAACCCCCCGGGGTGAGGGAATGGTGGGTTTAGGCCTCTGGGTTTGGGCCATAGTTTGTCGCACAGCCTGAGTGACCGGAGCGGACCTGGACCCGGCGATGAGAGCAGGGAGGTGCAGGGAGTTCCCTCGAGGGGCCGAGAAGCGCGTTTGGCTGAGGGGAGCAGGGGGGCAGGGCAGAACATGAGGCCTTGTGAGAGGTGGGGCTGTATCCCAAGGATGGCGGAAGCCACTGAAAGGGTTTAAGCATGGCGGTGTTCTGACTTGCTTTTACTTTGAAAGTCCCATTAGCTGTCGAGTGCAGCCCGGATCGATGGGAACTGCAGGCACGTGGTCCGGAGCTCCTGGGAGGCGGTCGCAGCCAGCCTGGGAGGAGAGGCCGTGGGCATCACCAGGCCGGGGCAGGGGCATTCCTCGGACTTTCCCTCCGTCTGGGACAGGGGCAGCCCAAGACCCCCGCAAACAGATTTGCTTTCACAGTTCAGAGTTCCCAGGACCTCCTCAAGACGGGGAGGAGCACGGGGGGCCCTGCCCTTTGGGTGCCCTCGGACGCTCGAGTGTGCTGCTGGGGAGTGTGGGCAATGGAGTCAAGTTCTAGTTCTACCGCTCAGGAGCTCTGAGCCTCACTTTGCTCACCTGCAAAATGGAGAGGACCCAAGGATCTACCTCACAGAGCTGATATGAAGATTAAGTAAGACGTGGCACGTTTAGTGTAGCACGCAGTGGCTAGTGCCTGGTGAGTGCTCAGTGAATGCTGGCTGTGGTAACGCGTCTCACCTCCTGGGCAGTGAGTCCCCGAGCCCCGGGCACGCGCAGGGGTGGCCGCGGAGAGCACCCGTTTTGCCCGGCCCAGCGCGCCGGAGTGGACACCCGGACGGCTGACTGGCGGAGGGTGCAGAGCCGTGGCTTGGAGTCCAACAGCCCTTCACTAACCTGGGCAGTTTTCCGACTCTCTTCCAGACTCCATTTCCTCGTGCTTAAAAAATGAGTGCTAACGCTCCTCGGGGTCAGTGGGAGGGTGAAGGCAATGCACCTGAAGCACTCGCCCCGCTCAGCGCCCGGCATTCCCCGTCCTGCAGCTGTCGGCTGTGGGCTGTCGGGACAGGTGCGCCTGCGCCGCCGCCGCTCCTCCCGCCCCGGCCTGCCCCCCGCGCTCGCCCGGAGCGTCTCAGCCCAGAGTCTGCCTGGACTGCTCCTGGTGCTCGGACCCCACCCCCCCACCCCCCCCCCACCCCCGCCGCTAACCTTCAATGGAGCGCTGTTCCCACCTTCCCACCCACCCGGTGGGCCAAATCGCCACGTGACTAACACATTTCAGGAGCAGAGAGTTCTCATTTTTCTTATTAGAGCTTTGGCTGGGACGAAAAATGTCTGACGTTCGCGTGGTGGCGGCGCGGAGAGAGCCCTGATGGTGTCTGACGGTCTGTACAAGTGGTTTCCCGCGTCCTCCTGTCTCACCCCTCCCCCGCAGTCGTCGTTGGGGGATGCCGGGATGTCCACCGTACTGTGTGGGCGGGGGCGGGGGCGGGGGGTCAGGGAGTGCATGGGTGCTGTCTCTGCGAGGGAGTGCTTGGGAGGGGAGGAACCGCCTTCCAAGCTTCACGTGTCCCAAGCTAACTTTGTGTTGCCCCTAGACCTCTCTAAATGCCTTTCCGGTGCCGGCTGGCCTTCGCGGTTTCCGGCCAGAAGTCAGTTCTCCTCCTTGTTGTTGTTTCTGGGTACGTGGTAGGTCTTTCCCCCTCTGGCTGCTTTTAAGGTATCTCCATGTCTTTGCTTTTTGGTGGTTTGACTGCGGTCTGAGCGGGTGTGGTTTTCGTGGTATTGGTTCTGTGTAGCTTCACTGAGCTGCTTAGATCTATGGGCTGATGTTTTGCACTGAATTTGGTAACGTAGGGGGCTTTCATTATGCCTTCAGGTACTTTTTCTGCCCGATTCTCTCTCCTCTCCCCTCCCCTTTTGGATTACACACTAGGTGTTGTCCCACTGGTCTCTGTATTTATTTATTTTTATCTTTCTTCACTCTGTTCTTCACTTTCGATCATTTCTATTACCTGCCTTCAGCTTCGCAGATCTTTTCTTCGACAGCGTCTACTCTGTTATTATTTTCATCCAAGATACGTTTTATGCTAGGTACTTTATTTTTTGTTCCTAGAATTTACCTAGGTTTATTTTTATAGGTCCATTTCTCCCCTGAGATTCTCTATCCATTTATTTGTTCTGTTCTTCATTTCCCGAAAATCCTGTGTGCATTTATCATAGCCATTTTAAAGTCCTTGGTTACTAATTCCCACAGCTGGCTCATCGGTGGGTCTGATTTTATTGAGTGTTACTTCTCTTGACTGTGTGTCACACTTTTCTGCTTTTTCACGTCTGTATATTTTCAATTGTATATTGGGCGTTTTGGATGATACATAGAAAAGGCTGTGTATTTTCTTGTCTTCCTCTAAAGAACGCTGTGTTTTATTCCAGCTGGCAGTCAGATTACTGTCATACCCACTTGAGATTGTGGAGGCTTGGTGATCAGGTTTCATTCAGGTGGGTTTGTTTTGGGTTTGCCCATAGACCTACAGTATAACCCTTAGTACCGGGCTTATTTGTAAGGCGTGGTTTTTCTAGAATTAAATCAAAAGCCCTAAGTGTTTGCTCAGCCCCTTTAATTTAGCAGAACCTGTGCCCCAAATTCTGCATTCCAGGCAGTTGTTGGACTCTCTGCCTCCCTGCCGCTGCTCTCTTTGG